TTGAAACTAAACATACTCTCACGGTACAATCCAGCAACCATGTCCCTTGGTATTTACCAAAGGAGTTGAAAATTTATGTCTACACAAAAGGCCTGCACATGAATGTTTATAGCAGCCTTATTCATAATTGCCAAAGCTTGGAAGCATCCAAGATGTCCTTCAGTAGGTGAGTGGATAAACTGTGGAACATACCAGCAATGGAATATTATTCAGCAAGGGATGAGCTATGGATGAAAACACATAGAGAGACTTCAAATACATTTTGCTAAGTGAAAGAAGAGAATCTGAAAAGGCTGCATACTGTAGGATTCTAACGACATGATATTCTGGCAAAGGCAAAACTATGGAAACAGTTAAAAGATCAGTGTTTGCCAGTGGTTGTGGTGGAGGGAGAGAGGAACAGGCAGAGCACAGAGGATTTTTAGGGCAGTGAAACCATTCTGCATGGTACTATAATGGTGGATACATGTCATTATACTATTGTCCATAGAGTGTACAACACCCAGAGTGAACCCTAAGGCAAACTATGGATTGTGGGTGATAATGATGTGTCAGGGTCGGTTAATCAATTGCAACAAATGCATCACTCTGGTGGGGATGTTGATAACGGGGGAGGCTATGCAGGGAGAATAGGGGAAATCTCTGTACCTTCCACTTGATTTTGCTGTGAATCTAAAAAATAAAGTTTTGGGGGGCACCTGGGTGGCTCAGTCAGCTAAGCATCTGCCTTTGGGTCAGATGCAGGGTCCTGGGATCAAGCCCCGCATCGGGCTTTCTGCTCAGCAGGGAGTCTCTGCCTCTGCTCCTCCCTCTACCCGGCTTGTGTGCTCTCTCTCTCTCTCCCAAATAAATTTTTTAAAGTTTTTTAATAAAAAGGTTTAATTTAAAAAGTCTATTAGTTAATGAGATTGCAAAGGCCATTAAGAGCTGTTTGCCAGCTATCTCCAGTTTGCATCTTCTTTGCCATTAGGTAGAACCATGTGACTCGTTACGGCCACAGTGGTTAAGTGGAAGTGACAAGTATTACTTCCAAGCTGAAGCAAGACCTTCCGGAACTCTCTTTTCCCTCTGGCTCAACAACTGGCAAATTCAAACCTGTCAGTGTCCTGAGTGACAGTGGTGAGCAGAGACTTCCAGCTGACATCTGGTAGACACATAGCAGAACAAACAATAAGCCTCGCTTGTTCCGAACACTGAAATTTTGGGATTGTTTCCTCAGCAAAATCTAGTTTTCCTGACTAATATAAAGATGATTGATAACTGTTATTACATTTATAAAACTGTCACTTCTCCCTACCCTACCCTCCTGTTCAGATGACACATTTAAGGAAGCAAAGTTGCCCCAACCATAAATTCTGATCTCCATTCACAAATCTCTTAACATCTAAAGGAATCTAAGTTGAAGGAAATTCTAACTATACTCTTGGTCTTCTATTTTCAAGCACCTCAAAATTCCAGAGAGTCTCTCTTTCTTCCCCCTAAAGAACTTCCTTATTCATGGCTGTCTATCACGCCATCTTGGTTCTATCTTCAGGCAGCGTGTAGTCTCCCAGAGAGGTTCTTCCTCCCTGGCTACTTTTTTCCCCAAGAATCGCAGCTTTAGTCCCTTCCTCAGAAAGCACAGAGGAGAGGCGCCTGGGTGGTTGAGTCATTAAGCGCCTGCCTTCGGCTCAGGTCATGATCCCAGGGTCCTGGGATCGAGCCCTACATCAGGCTCCCTGCTCTGTGGGAAGCCTGCCTCTCCCTCTCCCACTCCCCCTGCTTATGTTCCTTCTCTCGCTGTGTCTCTCTCTGCCAAATAAATAAATAAAATCTTAAAAAAAAAAAAGAAAGAAAGCACAGAGGAGAACATTTCCAATCAAGTAAAAAGGCAGAAGATTTGTGAACCCACACAGGGAAGTATGTTTATCTCACTGTAAATCATCATCACCATTCCTGCTATAGTTTGTGTCGTGCCTGCCATGTCTTATTTTCTTTCTCCACTGGTTCAGAAACCAGGCATGAAGCAGGAGGTTAAGTTTTGGGGCCTCTCAAACCCCAACAAAGGCCAGCTGAATCCTCTCAGGTAGTTTCTGTGACAACAGTTCAATGATCACACATCATCCCTTTGTTGTGTGGGAGGGTCATGTGTGCTGGGATGACCTTGGAGAGTAAGATGGTAACACCTTGGTACAGACGCTATGGTTCTCTTCCATCTACAACTCCTTCCTGACATTGTTGGGTTTGCAAAGCAATGCAACCAAAGGTCCAATTTCCCACACCAGAAAACTCAACACTTTCACAACCTGCATGCAAAGGGCCCACTGAACCCCCAGAGTAACCTCAGACTCTATGGCAGGTTTCCAACCAATTCTAGAAAGTCTCTCCCCCCTCTGCACTGTCAGCTTGTTCTGCTCTTTCTTATCGTCCCATCCAAACCTATAATCTCTCTCTGCTGCACTGATGAGGAAGGAAAGGCACAACTACTTGAGGATGAGCAAAAATTCATTGGAAAATACCCTCTGCACCTCTCCGTGCAACATCACATAATTTCTGGCTGTTTTGTCCTTCAACATACAACTCTGACTTCTTCACAGGAGCTTTCTGGATGTTACAAATGCACAGTGCTCCAGAACAGCCCAGCTTCAATCAAGCCATGGCATTCACGTCCAAGATCTATAACCCATGGCTGACTGATGACCACTCCTGCTCCCCCTGGTGTAGGACGACTACCTTCAGGGTTATCAACAAACGCAGGTTTGGGCATGAGGTCCAATCCACAGCTTTCTGATTATAAAAAGCAATCTGGAATCTTCTTCGATGCCCTCATTTACTCACGAAAGTCAGTGGGTCACCATCTTGATGTAAGGTTGCTCAAAACTCTCTTCTTTCGTTTTCAGGTCCATGGCATCTCTTGTTTGGAGAGCAGAACTAACTGGCCCTCCTTCTCACAGTCTCTTCCCTCTGGCACCACTGCCACGGTGATCACTCAACAGCACCCACGTGACTGACTACTGATTGCCTGACGACTGCTCAGCGGAGTTTATAAGAGTATGGGTGTCGGACGGGGCGCCTGGGTGGCTCAGTTGGTTAAGCGACTGCCTTCGGCTCAGGTCATGATCCTGGAGTCCCGGGATCTAGTCCCGCATCGGGCTCCCTGCTCGGGAGGGAGTCTGCTTCTCCCTCTGACCCTCCTCCCTCCATGCTCTCTGTCTCTCATTCTCTCTCTCTCAAATAAATAAATAAAATCTTTAAAAAAAAAAAAAGAGTATGGGTGTCGGTGTCAAGTAAGAGCAAGGCTCAAGTCCTGACTTTGCTGCTAACAGGGCAAGGCCTTAATCCACTCCACGTTGTGCTTTCTTCACCTTGGATTGGGAGCAACAAGAGCGCCTCCCTTGTAGAGTTTAGGAGGACTGAGTGGACACACATAAGACTCTAAGCACAGTGTTTTGGCATCCAGGAATGCTCAATAGATGTTTGCTAATATCATAGGTCCCCAGCATTTGAGGTCCTGCAAATTCTGGTCACGGCAGGCCCCCTGATTCCCATTCCCACCAGTCCACATAGTGAATGCGATGCCTCTCCCGGAGGTTCTCGCTCTGTGCTGCCCAGACACTGCTCATCCACAAACTCCTCAGCTAGAATACTGGACCTTTATTTTTACCTCTATCTACCATTCTCATCCCCAAAATGTAAAAAAGAGTAGTCAGTGTCCTGTATTTTCGACAAAGCTTTTCATTAGGAGACAATACTCTCAAATTACCCATAGAGAGGACACATTGCTTTCTGAAATCAGTACAATTTTTTGATGTCTAATCATCTTTATCTGTTAAGAACAAAGGTCATCTTTTCAAAGCTGAAATATGCTGCCACCTTTAATGCCCACGTGTATACTCTGCTCAGACTCACCAGAAGGGGGAGTGCCTGCGTAAAGTAGGGAATTCAAGCACTCCCTGTCGGGGGACAGTTCCTTGTTCCAGAATTCATAATCTGGTGGCACTATATATATATTTACTTATATAAAATATTTATATATTTATATAAAAATAAATATTTTTATATAAATATATATATATATAATTACCAGAGGTCCAGAAGATAAGAGGCATCTCAGTTCTTACAGGTCTTCATCCATACTTGTCATAACATAACCCACACTTATTATTACCAAAGTGGATTTTTCCATGATTTGCACAGATCTAAATTCTAGTTACAGACTAGAGTACCTGAGTTACCTGATTCTAAGTTGTCAATGATTCCTATCCATGCTCCATTTCATACCTAGTAGCCTATGCAGAGCAGAAGCATCACAAGGATTAAGAGCACAGACTCTGGAGCCAGGCTGTGTGGATTCAAATCCTGACTCTGCCACTTGCTAGCTTGGGTAAGATGCTTAATCTTTGTGCCTCAGTTTCCTCATCTGTAAAATGGAAACAACCATGGCGCCCATCTCCTAGTCATTGTGAAGATAAATGAGTCACTATGAACAAGTGCTTAGAATGGTGCCTGGTACACAGTGAATACGATATGTGATTTTGCTACTTCTACTGTTACTACTCTGTAGTTAGTCACAATCATCCTGGAGCACCACAGACAAGCAGTAGAGCAGACACTGAATCTGTCACCTTGAAAGCAGCTCAGCAAAGGAAATCTCATCGATGGATTTCATCCTACTTGGAGTCAAAGCTTCCAGCAACGGCCACAGGAAAGGAAGAGGCGATGCAAAATTCACAATAGAAAGGATTACTTACTTACCCTAGATTTCACTTACAGTAACTCACGGTGGTTAAAACCCATAGGAAAATATATGGCTCTAGTAACTGTGGATATTTCACAGACAGCCATCCAGGGGACCCTGCGCTATGGAGGATCTTCTCAGTGCCCAGAAAGATTGCTCTACCACCTGAAACCATCCACTCATACATTACCAATCCTCTTATTTCACAACACGATTTCCACATTCCCTGCAGTAAGAATACTTTCTCACTCCCATCATTCTTCCAAATGTCTACCCCTATTACCTGAGTTCATTTTTATGGATTTCCACTATTTTTCTTTCCAGCTTCTGTGACTGCTTGGGGAAAATCTCAAACTCACTGATGTAATTCTCAGGATGCTCATCAGGATCATAATCGCCGAGCTCAGCTGTAACCAGTAAGAAATAAGAGAGAGAAGGATTAACAACAACAAGAATAGGGTACTTGTGGAATGGTTCCTGCCACCCAAATGAAGAGCTGGCAATAAGCTCACCCTACAAAATGTATTTGTATCCATGGGAGGACCACAGCCTGAGTGTCTAGAAGCCCATATTCTAACTCAGATTTAGCCGTATGAGCTTGGGTACTTGCTAACCTCTTCGAGTCTTGTTTTCTACATCTATATAATAAAGGAATTTAAATAGTTGTTTTTCAATGGGGCACTATTGGCATTTGGGGAGCTAAACAATTCTTTATTGTTTCAGACCTTCCAAGGCATGTTAGGACATTTATCACCCTACCCATCAGGTACTATGTGTTAGTAGCACACCTCCGCATTGTGACCAACACAGATGCCCCCCAGTATTTCCAAACATTCCCTAGGATGTTAGTGGGAAATCATTGGATGTCCCTCAGGGTTCCTTTCATAGCTGATTTTCTGAGTCTAGGAATTCTACAGCTGGAACTGCCTGCTCTGAGATTTGTACAAGTATGGTGCATCCAATAAAAAAAAAATCACAACATGAAGGCACCCAAAAAGACTGCAGTTAAAAATAAATGGAATGCTCCTTAGATTAAAGAATGTAAATCTAAGCATGGGCAACCATACCAGATGAAGGTTGTTGCAGGGTTCTAATACAGAGCACCTCCAGGGGGTCTTTAAGGGCAAGAAGAAATGCTGGCACATCTCTGAGCTTCCAGAGGGTCTAGGAGAGGATGGACCTCAAATATGCACCAACCACAGCCAGGATCAGCAAAGGTGATGCTCTGGCCATTGGGATACTTTTTACTGATTGCACAAGACTGCTAAGGAAAATGGGCCAGAAGGGGCAAGTGTCTCAGGCACAACTGGCCAGGAAAGAAGATTAAAAGAGGGTGGGAAAATTGTATTAGAAAAACTTGATCACCAACATGACTTTGTAGTAGATAAAAATCAATATGCCTTGAGCACATCTGCAAAATCACATCCAACTCTGTAATTTGTATCTACTGTCCTTTCATTGTTGAATCATCTAATGACTACAAAAGGACAAAACTGGGAGGAAAGCAAAGCTCTTTAAAGCTTCCTAATAGAATTCAAATTACAGAGTTCTTAAAACTACCTAAAGTGCATATCCCACATGAGGAATGATTTTTAAAATAAGACCCAAAATACCATCAACCATAGGAGGGAAATCAATCAAATCAAGTTAAAATACTTCTGTTCATTAAAAGTCATCATAGTCAAAATAACAGACAACAAATTGAAAGAATATATTTGCAAAGTCCAACACTGACAAGGGCTGATATCTAGAATAAAGAAGTCGTCCCTACCAATCAATAAGAAAATGGGTAGGAAGACCAATAGGAAGATGGTCAAAGGATATAAACAGCCAATATAGAGAGATGCTCAAACTCATCAGTAGTCAGAACTATGGAAACCAAAACAAGACATCACTTTACACCTGTAAGATTGGCAAAACGTTTAAGAAGTCGAATGATTCTGTGTTGGCAGAGATATGAGGAAATGGAAATACTTGTACACTTCTGGAGGATCCTTGATGCGTGCAGCTCTTCTAAAGAGCAAGCTGGGAATATTTAGTCAAATATTATAATCCAGCAATCGCACTTCTGGGCATATATTCTAGGAAAACACTAAGTACAAGAAAGGATATGAAGGCAACTTGGGTGTTCATTGTTGGTGGGAACAATAAATAAAACAGATACTCTGCAGGATACTCTGTAGCAATTAAAAGCAATAGATGGAAACCCAAAAACCTGAACAGATCCCCAAAACAGTGTTTTCAGCATAAGAGGATTAAAACGAGTTTGTTTTTTTTTTTTGAATGGATCACTTTTTTAAAATTTTTTATTGTTATGTTAATTAAAACGAGTTTTATAGCCCCATTTAATTTATAAAACTTAGAAGTATATACACACAAAACAGTGTAATCATTGATAAGGATGTATGCAAAGTCGAAGATCTTTATGAACCCCGTCGTTGCCTTTCGGGATGGAAATGGAGAATAATGAAAAGGAAAATCAACCAATCAATCAATCAACTGATGGATCCAAAGGGATCAGTGAAGAGAATAAGCCATCAACTGATGATTAACTCAACCTGAGTTTCAAAAGATACACACATAACACACCTATGCCCACACCCACACATACATATCACCCTGTGAGCCGGCTATGGACCTGAAAATTTAGGAAACGATATAACCCAATGCCTCCATTTTCCATGGAGAATGGACCACCAATACAAAACTGGGTCACTTTCAATGCAAATGTCAGCTTGCATGGTGGTTGGTGAGGGAGGGCTTTGTCTGGCAAGGGCGGTGGGGGGTTGGCCCTCTTTTCAGGAAAACTTGCTTGTGAGATAAAATGAACTTGTACTGCTAAACACTGCAAATGAGCAGCTTGGAAAATGCGAGAAAACTAAGAGAAGAAATGCCATGGAACGTGCACTAGGTTGCCAGCAAGGTAAATGTCAATGCCTCCCACATCACACGCCCTGCTTTCTTGTCCCTTAAAGCTGGACTTTAACTGACTTCACCTGAAGCAAAAGGCAGTTCATAAATGATTCAGGACTTTTAACTATTCAGACTATCAAGAGGAGTTGGTAAGGGAGGATAAAGTTGTGACAAATGCACAGTGGATGGCTTGCAATCTGAAATAGGCCCTAGCATGTTTCCAAGGGAATTTAACTGTCAGAAAAATCCAAAGAGTTGAAGCAAAAGGATGAGTGCTATCAGGTGATGGTAAGTAAAAAGGGCAAGGTTGGCAATGCATTTCCCCTGGTTCAGAGAGGACTCATTCCAAAAGAACATGAGAGACGGGATGTTCCAGGGCCAACTCCCCCAGGAGCCTTCCCTGACCACCCTCGCTGGGTCAGAAGCCCTCCTGAGGTCATAGCAGGGACCTGGCTGTCGCTCTATTGAGCCATTCACAGATCATCACACTGCCTGTTTACTTGTCTGTCCCTCTCCCCCTCCTCCCTCCCAACCAGGGACTTCCTGACACAGTGCCTGCCTCCTAGCAGATGCTCCATACATGTTCAGAGAACACGAACAAATAAATGAAGGAGGTAGGGAACCAGCCGCTCTTTCCCAAGCAGAGAAATAAAGCACACAGTGGTGCAATTTAGGCAAATGCCCTGGTTCACTTAACGTCATTACTGGAGAACCTACTGCATGCCAGACACAGGGATACTATGGTGAAAAATGCCCCTGGAGTTCTACTTCTGTGGAGTTTAGATTCTACATCGAGGGAATGCATAAGAAGTCCCCAAACAGCTCAACGACGTAATTTCAGATAGAAGTGCTTAAAAGACAACAAAACAGGGGTAGGAGACAGAATGTGGTGCAGGAGAGAGGCTACTTTAGTAAGCCCAGGAAGACTTCTCAGAGGAAGTGACATCTGAACTGAGTTCAAATTCAATTCTGAATATCTGGAACACACCAGGCAGAGGAGATAAGACTGACAATCCCACCATGTTGCTGTTCTGCAGGAGGAACAGGAAATGATATAATTTTTACCAAGCAAATAAATAAAGAGGTTCCTAGGGTTTTGTGTATCTGTGTTGCAATTTGCATTATGAAAGAAAATGCATTGCACGTATTGAATAGGCTCGCTGTATTCAGTACATAAAAGTAGAAGCACTCTGGGTGCAGCCTGTGTTTTATATACTGAGAATATTCTGAAGCTTCAAACACACTCCTTCAGAGAGGGTTAGCAAATAAGAAGCCACTGAAAAGTCACACGGCCTCCTGCTTTCGAGTCCTTTCCTCCACATTCCCTCTCTCTCTGTAAGCATAAACAGGTCCACCAAAGCAGATCTTAATCTGCATTTCAATGATCTCTAGAGCTGCTGAAAGATTACCCCAAGCACCAGAGAACATCATGAATCCAGCTTTTACTGGATTTGCTACAAATGGCCCATGGACAATGCTGTATCTTAGAGCCGAAAGGTCCTTTTGGTGTCTGCCAGTCCGTTTCCAGCTCCACTTTCTCCACAGCATCGGTGCGCATGGTCAGGGATAACAGCGCCGAGGGCCCTGATTGTCCAGAGGGAGACTTGGTGGCTTTATTTCAAACATAAAACAGGATGGCGAGTTTCCCGTTACAGATCCATAGCGAGCAGTGTCCTTGGAGACCTGACCGTGATTCACTAATGCCTAAATGTGTTCTGAAATGCTCATGTGCTGGTCTGGTGCTTGGATTAGTATTGATCTGCTTTTCCCTTACAGAGGACAGTGCACTCTCATCAGGAATTTGCAACCTCGAAGGGAAGGAGGAAGACTATGGGTTTTAACATCCCTAAGCTCTGCTGTAAGAGAGGTTTTGGGAAGCACATACTCCACCGCAGGGCAGAGGGAAGGACTCTTTCCCATCACCTCACCGTATCACTGTAGTTCCGATTTTAAACTTGAATATCTCCAAGGGTTTTAACACCTCTGCCAAAATCTGCTGTGCAGCACTAGATGGATCCCAGGGGAAGGGGAAAGCAACACAGACACACTTCAGAATTCTCGGAAAGCACACACACCAGGAAACAGGGCCCAAGGAACTATTTCACCACACAGAGCATCCCACGGGGACAGTCGTGGGTGACAGTGGAACCCCAGGAGAATGACGGTGTCTCTCATAAGCTGTGAATGAAGCTTGTAATTGTGAAGGCAGACGATGGTCATGATGTGCTTATGACCCATCATAAGTGCCTATGTTATTCCAGACCCTTTATAGAGAGGACATGATCACTTACCTGATAACTGTCCTCCTCTCTCTCCCTCCCCTCCTCTCCATCTCCCTTCTCTTCTCCTCCCCTTCTCTCATAAATACGTCATTAGCTTTCACACCACAAAAGGCTGGATCACCTGGGTCCCTCCCAACAGGCCTTGCTCCAGCTGCCTCCCAACTGGCCCAGGGGAACAGAACACCTGAGTCATTCTTTGCTCGGGTCCTGAGCCCACCCCCATGGCCGTGCACCACCTTCGGCCCAGGAGACCACTTTCCAGATGGTTTTTTCTTATAGGTGGAAACATCCAGAAGCCAATAGCTGGGTCATAATGTGCTTACTGCTTCCCACTGCCCCACCCTCTGGGGCTTGTTCAACCCTGAAAATAAGTCTCAGTGAAGGAGGCACGCCACCCCGTTTAATATATGCTTAAAGAGCTGAGATAATTTGTCTGTGCTGAAATAGCCAGTAGATGGGGAAGTGAGACTCGACTTGATATGACAGACTGTGAGCCTGGCGCTCTCCTCATCGTGCTCCATGGCTAGAAAAACTGAAGAGTTCGAGACGCTGCCCATGGACACGTCTCTACACATAGGATTATATATAATATCTATTTTTGTATATATTTTGTCTATTTATATTTATTTATATGTATAATTTTATAATTTGTGTATAATTTTTAATTTTTAAAGTATTTCTAAAGAATAAATAGAATGTGTATATATATAGAGAGAGAGAGAGAAATGCGTTTATATATATACATGCTTTGACATTTTATTTCAAACCGTTTTGACACCTCCCTCCCTCCAACAGACTTTTCCCCCTCAACGTACCCGTCGGGCACCGCGCCCCGTGATCAGAGCTCAGAGCACCCCACCCTCAGAGGGGGCGGGCAGCCACGGCCACACTTACCTTGAACGATACAGGCACCCAGACAGGCCGCATCTGAAAAGGAGCAGAGCAGCCGACCGTGGAAAATATCTCTTTTAATCTGCAGGTACAAAAGATACCTGCAACACAAAACGAGCGAGAGTCACCCTAGGTCCCGGCTGAGGCCTGGAAGAAGTGGAAGGACCGTTCATGCTCTATCCACCTGCACACTGCCAGAACCACACCAGCCCCTCGGAGGGCAAGCGGATGAAACCAAGGGGCCCTCGGGATTCAGGAAATCTGACGTGACTGTGACCGAGGGCGGCTGGCCCTTCTTAAAGAGACATGAGGACAGAGGAAAGCCACAGGGCCCAGCAGCCACGGGTCCTGGAAGGAACACCCACGCGGTGCCAACCCCACCTCCCCCCAGTACAGGTGGCCCACACCCTGTGTGAAATGGAGAGTCCACGAATGGACTCGACCGGTATCCAGAGAGGAGTCTCAGGGGCAGACCGACTCACGTTAATCAATCTCAAAAGGACTTGGTTATGAGGCCAGAAAGCCAATTTGTTCACAACTAGATGTGTCCTCTGGTTAGTGCCCCGTCCCCCTCTCCAGGGACGGCGAGCTCAGGTGCCCACAGAGCCAGGGGAACCTGATCATGAGTGAAATGGGCCGAGCGAAGGGGGTCCGGGGGGGCAGAATGGAGAGCGCGGGCTCCCATGAAGGGTCAGCTGGCCACGCAGAGCCAGCCCAGGGTCACAGCGCAGAAAAACAGGCCAAGCACAGCCCGCTTTTCCAGAAAATCAGAGACTGGATTTGGAGGGAAAATCCTTTGAGTTTTAAATTTTGCAACCAATTCTGTTTTTAAAAAACACTGTAGTGCCAAACAGAAAATACACACAGGCCCAATTCAGCCCGGGGAAAGGGGCACGGGTGGGTTTGCTACCCCTGGCTCAGGCTCACCTGGTCACCGCCCCTTTCATTCTCCGGGCGGATCAAGCCCTCTTCAGATTTACTCCATCTCTTAGCCAAGTTGATTCTTTCCTCCAAGGCTCACACCTGGGGTCTACTGCTTCTGACTAAAGTGACTCTGCAGGTAAGGTGTGTGCAGATTCTTTGTTTAGTTCCCTTTAATTCTCAAAGACCAATCTTTTTTTTTATTCCGGGTTCTTGGAGCCAGGTGGGGGCAGCACTCAACTGGTCCCAGTTATCGATTCCAGTGCTCCAGTGATCTGCTCTCGACTCAGTCTCTGAGGAGCCATGTGCACAGCCCCATTCAGACAGCGTGACTAAGGTGCTGAGATCACGAGTGCTGTCGGCCCAAGGGCACTGGAGCTCCCCAACGCTGGGCGCTGGATCATCTAAAGCACACTGGACACACTGAAGTATTAGGGGCTCACTGCTGTGTGCACTTGGTGAATCTCTGTCCCACACCTGCTTTATGTTGTATACTGGGCTCTGGGCATACTGCAGAGGCTCAACTGACAGGCACTCTTTGTCCCTGACTTTGTATGAATTGTTTGCAGGGAATAAAAGCAGTCCCTAAGAAATGTCTTATGCAGAGTCTGGTACACAATTTGCCAGAGAAACAGCATTACACTTGGTAGGTAAGGACCCTGTAGAGCTCCCTATGTGAGAGCCTCGCACGCCTCAGTGAGCACATGAACTACCCAGAGATCCTTCGAGAATGTGGAATCCGATTCAGGAGATTGGGGTGGGGCATCGGAGTCCATATTTCTAATAACTCTTTCTAATGGTGAGGCTGTGCCGCAGGCCCATGGTCCACACTTTGAGTACCTAGGTTCCAAACCAGTGGTTCTCCACGCTGACTGCACATTAGAACCACCTGGGGGAGCTTTACAAAAAAATACCAAGCTGTGGACCCTGCCCCCAAATCCAATTAAATTGGAATCTGGGTCCTCACAAAAACATGTACACAAGTTTTCATAGTACTAAAAAGTAGAAAAATCCAAATGCCCATCAACTGATGAATGGATAAAATAAAGTGGAATATCCACACAATGGAATAGTATTCAGCCGTAAAGAGGACGAAGTATGGATCCACTCACACAGCATGGATGGGCCTTGAAAACAGCACGCTAAGTGGAAAGAAGCCAGACATAAAAGGCCACATATTATAGGATTCTATTTGCATGAGATGTCCAGAATGGGGAAATCTAGACAGACTGAGTAGATTAATGGCTGCCGGGGAGGCGGGGTGAGAAGGAGGGGAAACAGGGAATGACTGGATGGGTACTGGCTGATAGAAACGTTCTGGGATTAGATGGTGGCGATGGTCACACAACTTTGGGAATACACGAAACCCACTGAGGTGTGCACTGTAGCATCTGCCAAAAGAAGCTAATACTTTTGAAAATCAACTTTCTTAGAGTAGTTCTCAAATTCTGACATGCTCTAAAATTACCTGGAAGGCTCATGAAAGTTCCGATTGCTGAGCCCTGTCCCAGGTCTGGAACCGGGGCCAGGTTCCCAGGTGCTGCTGGTCTGGAGACCTCAGTTCGTGGCCCTTGGCCATAGACCATTCAGATGACCAAGGTCACCCAAATAGGATCCAATCTTTCCTTTTCTAAAGACTACAAACTTCCAGGCCAAATGAAGTTTGTTGTCTATTTGTTAAATGTTACACATTGAACAAGAAGCATTCCTTTTTGATGAGGTTAGTAGTGAAAAATAGTTTCAAATAGCTATGTACTGATGAATGAGAGGTTTGGATTCTCATCTCATATCTCTGAAATTAAGTTTGACGGAAGCTTCCAGAGAAAAGAAAATCTGCTTTCATAACATCCAAGCTTGGGTCCTTGGGATCAGTGATCTCTAGAGATAATCATGGATTACTGTGCATTCGACATAATCCACTGAGCCTTAGAAATAGCTTCAGGTTCAGATACTCATTTTTTAATATAATAGCCACCAAAAAATAATAATAATGCATCTCCTTTTAGTATCACTCCTGTATGAAAAGATTAAGCAACAAAAGCATAAGAGGATCTGGGGCATACATTCTGGTGCCACCATTAACAATACTGCTTCTCTATCTAACATGAATTTAAAGATGGTGCTTACTTAAAAACAAAACAAAACAAAACAAAAATACTTTGATTACATTCAATTGTATCCAACATTTATAAAAGCCCTAGAGATCTAAAGAATTTTAAGAGGACTGTGTGAATGGAGAGATAAATGAAGGATAAAAAGTGATCTCAAATATCCTTTTTTATGAGTATTTGTTGTTTCACTCTTTCCCATCTGCCTTTTCCCCAATGTTTCTTTACCTCTAAGCAAGGTCATGAAGGTGATCTTAAGTTCTCATGTAGCAAATTCTTCTTAAACTTTATAGTAACCTTACAACAAAATAACAAGTTATCAAAAGAAAAATGAAACTTTTTAGAATGCAACTTTTTTAAAATTTACATTCAATTAGCCAGCATATAGTACATCATTCGTTTTTGATGTAGTGTTCAATGATTCATTAGTTGCGTATAACACCCAGTGCTCATCACATCACGTGCCCTCCTTAATGCCCATCACCCAGTTACCCCATCCCCCCACCCACCTCCCTTTCCACAATCCTCAGTTTATTTCCCAGAGTCAAGAGTCTCTCATGGTTTGTCCCCCTCTCTGATTTTAAGATAGAGTTTAAACCGTAAGTACCGGGGGCATTCCACAGTTTCTAGATTCGTTTTGAATTCCAAGGATTGTTTTGACTAAGAAAAGCCCATTTCTGTCTGTGCAAGGACAGAGCATTGTCTTAATTTCCTTTGGAGACATAAAAATGTTCACAACCTTCCACTATTCATACCTCAGCTATTCAGTCAAATGCAGGGAAATGCTAGCAAATCCAATTGAGAAGAATTGGACTGGAGTTATTAACTAACACTTCGTATTCTTCTACTTTCAAATGGGACTTTTCTCAACAACAAAAGATCCATCCTTAACTTGCATCGTGACACATATTCAATTTTTATCCTCCAGACAAGATTATAAAGAAAACAAATGACAAAAGTGAACCGTTTTGACATCTGACTAAATAATGCCCGGCATCAGTGTTTGATTTAATCTTTCTAATTACATTATCGGCACCCAGAGGGCAGGACAAACATGGCTGGTTTTTTGTTTGTTTGGTTGGGTTTTTTGTTTTTTGTTTTTTTTTTTTGGTAGTTCATGCAGCCCCTGACACATATCACATGATTCCACTTATACGAAATGTCCGGAATAGGCAAAATAAATGAGCAGCTGACTCATTTATGATGGTACAGGGGTCTTTTTTGGTGATGAGAAAATGTTTTGGAATGGGTACAGGGGTCCTATTTGGTGATAAGAAAATGTTTTGGAATGAGATATCGGTGATGGTTACCCAACAATATGAATGTACTTAACGACACTGAATTGTACACTTGGAAGTGGTGAAATCAGTTTATGTTACGTAAATTTTACCTTAATATTTTTAAAAAGCAGGTCAGATTGCAAAATGCCCACCACCACTTATAATGGCCATTATTTATGTGTCCCTCGTTTCCACCTGCCCCCATCCCTAAGCACAGACCTCACTAATGGCTGTGTGCAAATTAATAATAGAGAATGGCACCATCTGCTCCCTTACAAGTCACCTCGGTGCCACGGTGGTCAAGCTTTACTGAAGACTCAGGAATAAGGAGAAAGCAAAATATCCAATAACCCAATGCATCACCTTGCATCTCTGTTGCATTCGGACCTACGCTGATTATTTCAAGACATGATTGTGCACAGTGATTTTTGTCACCTAATCAGAGTCTCGTCAAGAACTAAGCATTATTGCCTTCCTGGGACCCTACTCAGCTGCACTGGCTGGGGCTGTTCTCAAAAGCAAAACCCCAGGAGGAGGACTGAATATGGCCCCAGCCCAGGAAGATCAGAAGGGAGGAGACGGAGAATTGGAAAATTCCGCGTCAGCCTGAGAAGAGTCTACAAGTGAAAGGAAAACAGCCCCATGGTCGACCATTCAGCAAGAGGAATGTGGGGTGACAAGCAGTTAGTGCTACCCAGCGATCTTTTCCCTTCCAGAACAGCTCAGATCCCAAAGATTGTCCCTAGGGGCTGCACTAGCTATGAATTTGCCGGTACCCTAAAGACAGTCATCTATTTATTTTTAGCACCCCACTGTCAGATGTTTTCAGAGAATACCTCCTCCTTATAACCACCGCTTTTTTTGTGTGCAGTTAATTACACTCCCAATGACAACTGTTTGAAAAATCCCAAGACAATTAAGTGCGAGAGAAACATTCCAAGCCAAAATGCCAAACTGAGTATCTGCTTCGTTGAGACATTCTGCTCTAGACAGGAGGCACATCTAGCCTGGTAGGACTTGGAGGTCCTGGCTGGTTAAAGGTGCAGGTTAAACATACAAACAAACGAAAAATACCTTGTGAGCTCTTCTTTAATCTTCAAGGGTTCATGTGGGTAGAATTTCACTCTAAAGCACATGGTGTATGGTGGATGAGCTGAAACATCATAAAGAAAAGGCATGAGAAAAGCAGCAAAAGACCATGGACTCCAACACACACAGGAAAGTCAGCCGTGAAGTTGCAGCCTAGCTTGGGGGTGGGGGCAGGGGAAAAGGTGATTTTTCTGGAGGAAGCAGATCTTACGCCCAAGAAAACAAAGCCACAGTGACAATTAAACTCAAAGAAAATGCTTGACAGGACGCCCAAAGCAAATGCAGGACACGAGCAACCTAGTCAGTTAGCACATCTTTCCACATCACATTCTCGCCTGGTCATAGCTTCAAACAACATTTTTTTCTTCCAATTCTTCCCGCCCACTTGTGACAGATAAATTGCCCACTCAGGTCTGGGCCTAGTGAGATATTTTTCAGACTGTGAGGTGGAAAAATGTCACTGCACATGACTAGTTTTCCCAAAACAATGGTGCCTTTGAACTAAAATCGCAATTTTAAAATGGAGTCAGCCATGTACAGATCCTACTTTGTATATTTTTAGTATTATTTTAGTATTATTTATGAGGCAGTCACTATGAAAACAAACACTTTTATAACTTCCTGATTTGTATGAATCAAGACAGCACTGCGCAGACTGAGGTTCATGATTCTAGAATGTTCTAAGTGCATTAAATATCTGAAACTCATGGACCAGCTAAGTGGATTCTACAGGACTTGTGAGACCCTTAATTATAAAAACAGTGTTGACTTACAATATTAATCTAATAAATGCACACAGAGCAGGAAGATACATTCAAATTTCAATTAGCATATAAAATGAACACCTTAAAATGAAAGAAATACGGTGGTTAGCGTTATCATTTCTATGGATCTTACATACCCGCTTGTGTTTTGCCTTTTTATCGGTACAGCTACTTGGGATCAACTCCAAGTCTACGTCCAAATGCAAATATGAAACAGGATCCTATTCCTGCCCAAATCCTCTTTCGTAATAAGGAGGGGTTAAATCCCCAGCCATCTCATAATGCCTGGGGCTATTCTGTATGTAGACAAATTCTTTATGTGGAAAGAACTATCAGCATTAAATATGAATGCATAATGAGTATAATTTAATATAGAAAACAGTTCTTAAAAATAATTTGAAAGAAAGCATCCAAATCACAGGAAAACACAAGCATCTTTCTGACCATCTCAGCAGAGAAAAACCGATTATACACATACGCCCACACACACAGATGTCAGAACTCTTTCCATTCAATGCCCTACTTCCTCCCCACCAGGAACTAGCAAATTTTTTAACTGAGTTGGATGCTCCTAACCCAAACCTGTGTTCCCTAGATTTAAGGAAACATTTTTTCCTGGAGCACTAGGAGAAAAATAAACACCATCTATACAGCAAAGAACAAAGAAAAAATAGCAGTGATTCTCAAGTCATTTCTCTTTCATGATACCTAGAATTTCAGTTTTGACTCAAAATATTTACTCATTACACATTCCCCAGATTTCTTTTAATTTGTTTAGGTCACCACCTTTAAAGGATTAAACCTGATTTTTTTTTTTATTATTATGAAATCTCTGGATTGTCCTTAGTAGAAAGGTTGAGACAGTTTTCATAAGAGAAGAACAACAGAGCAAAAAATGGAAACAACATAAAAAAGGAATTTTTCTTTTTCTTCTTTCTTTTATTAGTCTTCAAAATTAATACATGTTTCAGCACAGCCAATGAAGATGATTGATAATAGTAGACAGATGGAAAGATAGTGGATGGATACAGATGGATAGATGGATGGACAAGTAACAGGTGGATAGACAGACAGATGGATAGACAGATGAAGGGATAAACCATCCCCTTTCACTTTCCTTCACTTTGTCTCTATTCCTGCCCCTCTGTCCCTTGAGTCCCACCCACCTTACCCCGAACTCTCCCACCACCGTCAACAACTTCATCTATATTCTTCCACCCTTTCTGCCAAACTCACACAAATATATGCCAATATGATTACATATGTGAGGGATTTTTTTATTATAATTTATTCTCACAAAATGAGATCACACTACATATGTTTCTCTTGCTTTTCTCACTTTATTCTATATTCTGCTCATCCCTCTGGGACAATAGTCCTAGATCTAACTCATTGTCATTACTAACTGCATTATAATTTATATTATGGATACAGCAGAATGTATTCCACTATTCTCTTTTAATTATCATTCAGATTGTTTCCACATTTCTACAATACAATTTTATTTATATATAGCCTTGTGCACATGTGCTGTTCTTCTCTCTTACGTTGAAAACCAAAAACTCTTTGAAAAGAGCATTGTAAAGTCTATGTTCTGTTTTTGGCAAAGTATGCTTTTCCTGATGGAATAATCACTCCCCAAACAACTGTCGCGACAGGTTAAGGCCATTTTGTGTACTGGTGGGAATGGCATGCTTAATTAAACTGGTAAAGACTTAAAAAAAAAAAATAAAAACCATAGGGAGCTGAAAAACAAAAAGCCCCACCGAAGGCAAATTGGGGAAAGAAGGATCACAGATGATGATCCCAAACTAGAGATGTCATTTGCTCTTCCTCCTGGTCAGCCTATCTGCTTACTCTGCCCTAGGCTGGCTTCAATAGGTGTCTGAGCTCCTTGGCTATAAGTCAGGACTCCCATTCTGCCTAAGGAATCAGGCGCTGAGACAGGCAGCTCCCCGGGCAGCCATCTTTGAACATGCCTTACCCGCCTTCTACCCACACATCCTCATTCTAAGCCCAGAGGCTCCAGAATGGTCTCATGCTTCTCCCATATGCAAAGCCCTTCCATCACTTGAAGGAAGCTCTTAAGCAGCGCTTACAGTCCTTCTGAGTCTTCTCTATAATAAACATCCTCCATCCTGTCGACTGCTCCTCATCCAAACCCGTTTTGAGTGCCTTCATTCTGGGTATATTCTGGTCTCTGTTTCCTCAAGCCCAAGGCCCCAGGGGTTGCCACATGCATTCGGGTGAGGAGATCGTCACCAGCCTCAGTTTGGACATAACTGTTGCTCCCCCTCAAGAGCCTCATCTCAATGTTAATTCACTCTGAGTTTATAATAGACCAACGCTCTTAATCCTTTCCATATATGCTGTTGCTAAGTTACACAGAAAGTCACATCTGACATCTCTTTCCATTTTTCTAGGATGTGATCATGGGAGAAATTAATACAAGGTGTTAGGGGTACACTCACCACTAGACCCATTATCAGAGAAGAGAGGAGAGCAGGCAGCAGAAAAAAACTTAGAAAGAGACATTTCAAGTCTGAAATTTTCTATCCCCTTTTCTTTTACCATCATATATACCCCTACTATGTCTTTCTCTCATACTGACCCAGCATCACTGACCCCATGTCACCAATGAAAGAGTTTCCCTGTAAGTTAAAAGGAGCACGTGATTTTGAGAGAGTGAACCATGTGCAGCACCAGGGACCCATGCTGACAAGAAGCTCAACCTCACTGCCCAAGCCTGAAGAGGCCAATGTGGCAGTAGGCTCCTCCTTGAGAAACTCTCTTAAGGTTCTGGATGCAAAATTATATGACAAAGTAAACAGTAAAGTTAAGGAATGCTTCTTGACAGGGTTGGAACAGTCTGAAAAGATAAATAATTCCCCCCCAAAAAATGTTGATCTAGTTATGGATGACAAGATTTATGAGAGTATGGAGCCATATATCTCATTCAATGTTTTATCCCCAGAGCTAATTATGGATGAAAGATGGATTCTGTCTAGCTGAATGAACGATTAACCCCAAGCTTTGAGGCAGATGTCAAAGAGAAAGGCCGTGCCCTGCCATCACATTCATCCCATCAAAACACTGGTCTAGAAGGTCCATGGTCTGAATGATTACGGCAATTCCTATGATTTAGATTTTTGAAAACCTCTGGTCCTATATCTTCAATTTCTGCCCTTCAACACCTAAAACAAATTCAGGGACTCTGGAGTTGGTTAGAATTGCTATTTCTAGAGGGAGTATTAATTAATTCAATCAACAAATACTTATTGCGTACCTAGGAGATATTAGCTGTAAGTTTAGATGTACAAATAATAGTAGCCATAAAAAGATAAAAATTATGTCTTCATGGAAGACACATTCTAGTGGAATAAACAGGTATAAAATCAAAATTAATAAATGAAATATATAGGACATTAGAAGGTCATAAATGCACAGTCAAGAATAGAGCAGAAAGGGGGGCGTCTGGGTGTCTCAGTCAGTTAAGCATCTGTCTTCGGCTCAGGTCATGGTCCCAGGGTCCTGGGATCGAGTCCCACAACGGGCTCTCTGCTCAGCAGGAAGCCTGCTTCTCCCTCTCCCACTCCCCCTGCTCGTGTTCCCTCTCTCACGGTCTCTGTCAAATAAATAAAATCTTAAAAAAAAAAAAAAAGAAGAAGAAAGCAGAAAGGATTTAAGGGGTGAAAATAAACACCCCCACCTCTCTTCCCTTTTCTCCTCCCCACTATAACCAAATTCATTCAGGTAAGGTGCAATTCTCTTTACTGCCTTCTAGAAAACCAAACGAGGGAAAAATTTAATTTAAAATTTTAAGTCATTAAACAAGAGAAGAGGGGAAAAAGTCACCCCCAAATATGTTAGCACTGGTTTGGGATCAAAAGCCCAGCTCTGGAGCACTGGCATGCACCCATACCAACTGGGTGACTGCTGAAAAAGTGAAACAGGTAACCAAAGGGTTAATGGGACTCATAAGTGCAACTGTAACTTTTTACCCAAATCTGTTTGTTCTCCTAACACAGCCTGCAGCCATGCTTCCATAGATGACATTCCTAGACACCATGATAACAAAACATTGATTTAGTTGTTTTGCAGAGACTCAAGGCTTCACTAAGAAACTGGCCAGAACTGGTCAGGACCACTGACCATCTCTTCGAGCACATGCGTGAGTCCATTGGATGAACTTTTGACACAGAACGGCCTAAAACTCAACCCTCAGATCATACTAAGGATGCCAATGACAATGCAGAGCCACACAGGTGCAGAAAACAAGTACAACCCTCCCCTACTTATT